GAAGTCGAGTCGACCACCAATTTAAAGTGTGATTGAAAAACAGTCTGAAGAGGAAGATATATCTGATTATGCTATATCTGAAGGGGAAGAAAACTTGATTACATATTGCTAAAGGAAGCAATCACTGGAGATCACGGAGCATTATCGCCAACGACCTAAAGAACTGCAACCGCTGAATAACTCGCTCCCACTAGATATTTCATAAAATGCGAGACGGCGGTTAACTGCGTTCTCACGTATCCCGTCGTAATGACGACGACCATAACTCCAGCCACAGCACCCACATCTATACGGCAGACTGTTCCATTCTAAGAACACAGCTTCGCAGACCGAACCGTGAGGCTGGAGGCCTTGTTTTAATCCGTCGCAGGAAGTACTGGTATATAATTCAGAATAATTCCGCCCAAAGAATTCACTTCAACATACTGTAGGTGCAGCCCGGCTACCACTACAAAATCATTGCTTCCTCATGGACAATAGATGCAGCATGTGAAAACCTCCAGTAGTGCCGAATTCAAGGAATGCAGCATAAGCCGAGAAACCTCCTAAGTCGATCGCCTACATCTGCCATCGTGGGCCTTCGGATCGCGGCTGTTGCTCAGATTCAATCGTAATCGTCGATCTAAATTCTGAGAACGGAGGGAGGGAACGTAAGGGAACCAACGGGTCGGGCAGGTTGGGAACGATTTACAACTCCTGCTAAGCGTTTGATTCTCCGATTTTGTTTTATCATGGCACAGCATGAGGCTTACACTTGCCACGGAGCTTATGGTAGATGAGCTTCATACTGGCAGTGCGCATTTATATTTTGGCCCCTACTGGTGCTCCAGGAAAAGCCCTAAAATTAATGCCTGACTACATCCACGGTATTACATTTTCCGATCGGCTGCTCCAGTTTCGGAATGAGGAGGGAGCAGATCCCTGTCGGCTGCATTGTGAGGCAAGTCTCAAAGCTGAAGAGGTCAGGATATCGGTTGCAAAAGTTTGCAACATGAACATGACCAGCCGAAGGTTCTACTCGCACAGTTGAACTCATTCAGCTTGCAGTTTGGTTGCTCATTCCAAGCACTGGGCATGCAAATCTCATGACTATTAGAATTTAACCCAGCCTAATCTAGACTTCTTCCAGCGGAGAACTGACAGGAAACTGAGCGGAATGTACAACTTCAGTGTAATGCATTTGTTGGGCTCCGCTGACTGAAAGGCAGACGGGTGAGAGTGAACGGGAGAACTAGGACTCAAACGATAGGCAGATTTGCAGACTGAAAACATATACTAGAGTGAGTGATACTGTTCCAGAAGAGAACAGTTGCAGGGAGGAAATCGAAAACTTATTGTTCCGGAACTGCAAAGCGAGCAGAGATTCGAAGAATCCTAGTTGGGTGTTGAGGAGAGTACACAAGATGCTTGTGCTTGCGGTGTCTGAGTTGGAAGTGGTTGTGCTCCGAACACCAGTTTTGCTAGTAAAGGTCTTAGTTTTCTAGTCGTGAAGGGGTTGAAGATCAGGTGGGTGCTTATCGATGCCCACGTCTTTCAGTCAGCCTTGAAGCCAAAAAGGGTTCTCAGGCCATGACCTGAATGACATTCAACTACCAGATGATGGGAGATTGATGGATGATTGCGCCGACAAATATCTTGTCTGTGTTTGTGGTTTGAATCCCAGCTATAACATCTCAATCTTGCTTAATGGATTTTACCATGTGGGTGTAAGTTTTTGTTGCAAGATAAAAAGAAGTATAAACCAAACAAATATTATTAGATTTGTATTGGCATCATTAAGAAAGCGAGTTAAATGTGTGTGTGTGTGTATGTATGTTTATTTATTTATTTATATAAACAGTTGTAGGAGGAAACAAAATTGATGCTAGAGAATTGTATTTGAAAATTTAATGAAGGTGATACCAATGCACTGTTGTGGAGCACAAAGGTGCAATAGTCAATGCATTCTATCTTATTTTGTTGGTTTTTGCATTGAAAAAGTTAGTAATAGAGGAGACTATTGGCACCATGTCCATTCACGTTAACAAATAAGAGTTCATTCCACTAATTTGTTCCTCCTTTTTTTGTACCCATTAAAGCAGACATTATTGATTTTGATATTATTTTATTATTGTCTACCATTTAAAGTATCTATAATATTGTTATAATTTTAGACTTTCAATTTTAGACTTGTGATTCCAGACTCAGTCCTCAAACTACAAGAGTGCAAAAATAAAATTAAAACCTACAATTGTAAGTCTTTAAACTTTTACAACTAAGAAGAAAGTAGCCTAACTCATGCCTGATTGTTGGTTTGTAAAATCCCTCATTCTTTTTCACAGTAAGAAACTTGCAATAAATTATCAACAAAGCATGGCATTGCCCTGTCCTGTGTATTTGCCATTAAAAATGGTTATTTTTCATGAGAAAAAAGGTACAAACAAATGGATCTATCTTACTATTCGATTAAACATTGTTGTCATTGTCATATCTCGTGAAAGACACCTATTTGTATATTTTTCCCCTTATATCCCAATTTTTATAATTACAGGAAAACAATCTAGAATAAAAAGATTGGAATAACGTGAAGTGTAAAAATTGTGTGCAAATTGATTTGATATTTGGCTAGCAAAAAGATAAGAAACACTCAATTTTGAAAAAGGCAATGTCACCTTCATGGCAAACTCCCATAGCATTTATGTTTTCATTCACTAAAACTTATCCTAAAGTTGGCACTCTTGGAGAGAAACCAACTTGAGTCTTTTCAAACTTTAGAATAATTTACCACATTAACTTCTTGTAGTGCATCTTTTAATTTAAAGCATTTGTTGATTCTAACAATACTTTGAAATTTACAATTATGTGAAAATATTTTTAAAATACATAAAATAATTGTTAAAAGATCACGGATGTGATTTTTATGTATTTTATGGTTTTATTTGTAGTGATAATTACAAAAAAACACAAATAAAATTATTTTAAAAAATAAATATCTATCTATTATACTTGAGTCAAATATTTTATAGACTTTTTTTTAAAATTATAATTATTTATTAAAAAAAGAAAACATAAAATAAGTAATTTTATCCAAACATCTTATTCTTTTGGGTATTAAATTAAAAGATAATTAAATATGAGTATGCATGTACACATATAAACAACTTTGTATGGAATACAAAATTAACAACTATAATTTTTTTAAATTCACTATCCATTATACAAACAGGCGTGTCTATACATGAACATATACACCCATGAACACATAGTTAAAAAATATTTTCAACATAATAATAATAATCATAATTCTATGCTATTTATTTAATTTTTTTCAAAACTTGTTGCTAACACAAAAAATCAGCTTGAAGATATGTATTCTTAATAATATTCTCAGCACACAAACTATACTAAACAAAAATGTAAGCTGTAAAATACCATGCTTCACTAAATTATATTATTATAGCTAGTAATATATTAGAATATCATGATGCATTTCTATAATTGACTTAATTTACAATATTGCAAATAATATTGTAGGTGATATTTGAAGTTATAAACAACCAAAACTAAGTAAAGTATTTAAGGAAAAGTATTGTTACTATACACAATGAAATATATATTTATATTTTGCATGTATAACAAACCAATTCTTTTATTTAATGAAAATTCTGAAAATCCCTTGACAATGTCATGTTTAAAAAACAAAAGAAGGATCTCTATATTTAGAGGGAAAATACCAAAAGCACACCTTTTTTGACTTTTGTAAAAGTATATTTTTGACCATTTATTGCTGTGAAAAGATGGAGACCATAAAACAAACTTAAGGGCACATTTCCTTTCAAATTTGAAGGGCTCCTTATTCAAATGAAATACCATCACATTTCTACTTATGCTCTTTCATTTATTGAGTATGCCATATCTTTTCTGAACCAAGTACTTTCATTTACTTCAAAAGATTTTTCTTTAGTCAAGGATATTCCATTGCACTACGATCTTGGTTTGAATTGACCTGCATTGATTTTAGTTTTCAATTTACAAAATTCAAACTTCATGTAAATTTTGTATTACTTTTTTATTTTTATTTTTTATTTTTTATAACTTGAATGATGTGTTAAACTAATATTGTGCAAACATATGGCTTATTAGAGTAATTTTAAAAATACGTTTGTAATACAATATATATATATATATATGTGTGTGTGTGTGTGTGTGTGTGTTAGTGCTACTTGTATTTTTAATTAAAAATAAAGTATATTTAAAAAAACAAATTGGGTAGAGGAAAATTGTAAATTAGTTGATTTGAATGACTAAAATAATATTTTCTCTACAATCTAAAACAAAAACTGGCATGGAATTCACAAGCTCGGCAACTTTTTAGATAGATTTTATGGAATACACCCACAAGTCCCGTATGAAGAATGTATCTTAAAAACTTGACCTAACATCGAACAAGTTCTTTAAGACCAAGAATGAAAAACAACTAATTCTTCTACAAACCATTAACACATCTCCACCATTATTTGGTGGACGTAACGTGGACGCGTCGTCGTCGAGAAGCGACGACCCCACACGACGACCGCCCGTCGACATCGACGAGGTCGTCGTCCGCATCGTCGTCGTCGTGGTCGGGGACAGGGCAACGCGATGGCGCAAAGGAAAGGGGGGAGCGATGGCGATGACGACAAAAGGCTCTGGAACTGGATAAGTGGAAGCTGTGAACCTCTCACTGTCATGTGCGACTCTCGGCACTCGGCCTCGAAGTCCGATTCCCACACTCTTCCAGTTCTCAGCCGTCGGATAACTGTGGGGTCGTGTGTCATGGCTGCCACAATTCTGGCTATGGCGAGGAATGTTTTGGGTTGATGGAATCCAGGTGCCACTGGACTTTTTGATTATGCTTTCGTTGGTATCGTGCTGCGCTGGCTGGCTCCCACTCGAGGAGACTGTTTGGGTGGGTGGGCCATAGCCTTGGGTGCGATCCTTACGCAGCCTGATATGATTTTTGCTTTTTTGGGGGGACGGAAGACGAGGTGGAGCTGGGCCGGGAATTCACCGCTGTGGTGTGTGGGAATGGGACCGAGAACTCCTGCTCTGGTCGGACCTGGGAATAGAGAAGGTGGGAGTGCGAGGGTGATTTTGTTTTGTCATTGCTCGTCATATTCGTTGAACGTGCGACGTGCTTGTGGTAGAGTTGTTGAGTGAGTGCAATTGGGGTGAAGAGTGGGAAGTGACGGAACCGAGCGGCTTCTAATGGGAGGCCTATTCGTGGGTAAGAGAGACAGAGGTAGAGATGGAAGGTGCCGAATGCTATGGAATTAGAGGGGCACCGAAGGCCACCAGCGCCGTAGAGCCGATGGTGCAATATCTATTGTGGTCAGAGTATCTGCTGTTGTGGAATCAGGAAGGTGCTCTGGGCAATTAGTGTCAAGTTGGAATAGGAACGGAGGTTGCCGCACGCTGGTGCGGAGGCAACTGAGAACAGCAGCAGCCAAAGCCATCAGAACTTAGGGGAGGGCGTGGAATTCAGCCGGATAGGACAAGAAGAAGTGGCAGAACATGTTTGTGCATTTGTAGGGCAGTCATGCATGCAATTTGGGACGTAAGCGCGTCGTCTTTGAAGCGGAATTGCAGCCTCAAAGGTATGAACCCCTAGCTCCTGTTTGACACCTTGCCCGTAAGTGCTGTGAACAACTTTTTTGGTCCTTCGTTATTGTCATTGTTACCAATATTTTTGAACTTTTCTCTTTGCTTCGGTGTATGCCCTGGGAAGTGCTCAGGGTTCTGCCGAAGTTGTTGGAATGGATGAAGGATAAAGTGTGGGACAGCAAGGAGTGCATAACTTGAGAGCGAAACGCATGAAGTTTGGATTCCGCGAATACCTCGTGTATTAGAACCTCTCTTCTGTTATATCCACTGGAGCTCGTTCTTTTATTACGTACCTGTTTTTCTCTAGCCTGAAAGCGCGGACGACGTGACTGACTAACTTCAGTCTGTAGGAGGATCTCGTGATCGGAATTATCTTCTTGTTTATCAGTCAGCGAACATTTTTTCTGCTATAGTAATTATCGAAAATGAACGGACATGACAATCAAATTGGTTTTAGTTGGAGCCTTTTTGTTTGGTTAATTGACGCGGCGCCTGTATGTATTTCCTATTGAGTTTCTCAGCGGGGATTTTCGGTGTTGCTGGAAGAGGATTCTGCGTCTTACTTCTTACGCATCTTGAATTACCCTGTTGTGATTTCCCAACTAGAACTAAATCTTCGAGAATTCGAACAAAGAAACAATCTATGAGTGAAGCAGGACGTCTTATCCGGGTGCGTGATACCCGCCGCAGTGAATTCGAAATTCCTGAATATTTTGATGATTGTGGTCTTCTCTGCATGCGTGACTAGCGATGATGAAGACTTTCCAGTGATGCGCACTGCTACAATCGACAGTGCTTCGTGGTATGAAATATTTTAGAATCTAATTCTCGTTATAACCTTTAAATGTTTCAGGTATCCTCTTCAGTGCCTAAACACAATTTAACGGGGTCGCTCCATCCTCGAAGTCCTCTTGAATTTAAGCAACAGCGATTGCTAGCAACTCGTGAAACATTGTTTCAAGGATGGGATGTGCCGCTTCCAAGGATGGGTTGGTGTCGAACCGCAAGTCCCGCCCTGCACAACCAGGCAGGAGCATGTCCATGTCAGTTCAAGCGCATGGCAACAGGGATAATGGCTTCCATATGGTAGCTCTTGCTTCTAGCACCTACGGCATTTTGAAGGTGGATGAAGACAAAGGAAACGATTTTAACTTCGATATTAAACCCGATTCTGCTCATGATGCTTTCTATGAGAAGCTGAAAAACTTTGATGTTCCTGAAGATATGATTGCGAAGCCATGGTCTGAGGTTAGTCGTAATCTTCCTAAAATCCCGCCCCCGACGAGAACAGATAGTCCACGGCGAACTGATAGTCCCCGGCAGATGGGTGCTTTGCGGGGAACTGATAGTCCGCGACAGACAGGACGTAGTTTTCGGGGAACGGATAGTCCACGGCAGACAGGACGTAGTTTTCGGGGAACGGACAGTCCACGACTGGCAGGACGTACTAGTTTTCGGCGAGCGTCGGAGAGTCCGCACCAATTACCGTCGCAGGCTGCGAAAACTGATCACGAGACTATCAACTTGTGGGAGTTGATGGATGGTCTGGAGGAAGATGGAACTGGGAAATCGCAGCCGAAATTGAAACCAGTCGATAGGGTAAGCCGTTCTCCTGTGATCAAACCCTTCGAGAGATCCGTCACCTTTTCGACTATCCATACCTTAAGTGAATTGGACTCTGAAGATCCAAGCAAGGCTATTGCGCTTGGCTCGGCTGGCCATGTTTTGAGCAGCACAGGGACTGGAGAAAGTGGTATTAAGGAGAACGGTATGCCAGGAAGGGCAATGTCTATGCCTGCGAGGTCACCTGTGATGCCTGCGAGGTCGCCTGTGATGCCTGCGAGGTCGCCTATAATGCCTAAGAGGGATGACGTTTTGGTGAGGATGACGCCGTCGTCACCAGCACCTTTGCCCAAAGCTGCTACTCCAAACAGTAACTCCTTACGTCCTCGCCAACCTATCGTTACACCGATGACGCTTACACCAGAGGGGAATGCCTCAATTCAAGAAGTTAGCCATGCCGTGAGCAAAGCCCTTCTTCCGCCTCCTTCACCATCTGTGAGACCTGTTTCAGCCAAAATAAGCAGTGCATCTCCCAGTGTTGCACGTCCTCGACAACCTAATGTTGCACCAATGACGCTGACACCGGAAGAGAATGCTTCGATACGGGAAGTAAGTGCCGCCGTAAGCAGAGCTCTGCTACAGCCTCCTACATCTTCGGTGTCGACTGCTCCAGTCAAAGTAAGCGGTGATTCTCCCAGCGTTGCTCGCCCTCAGCAACCTACCGTTGCACCAATGACACCGACACCGGATGAGAACGCTTCAGTTAATGAAGCAAGCAAATCCCTCCTTCGGCCACCTTCACCTGTGCTGAGGTCTGTCGGGACTAGAAATGCGAGTGCTACGCAGGCGCAAAACAAGCCACCAGAATTGCAGCCACGTCAATCCCCGATGTTGAAGGTGGACAAACCTCTGATGTCACTCAATACAAAATTAGAGGCTGAAGTCGAAAGAGCTCTCTCTGAAGAGCGGAGTGTAAATCCAAGGCGATCACAATCGACTACGACGACATCGTCGGAGTTTAGTGTGGAAATCAATCGTGATTCTGGTCGTGCCCATGTTGCCACAGCGTCCTTTGGTCAGGAGGGTGCAGTTATCCGTCCAGAGCACGCTCTTGGGAGAGTTGAGGCTGATGAATCGTCGAGTCAGCCCAGTCGGCAATTGCCACGATTTGCGTCTCCCATACATGTGCTTTCACTGGCGGCCTCGTTTGAGCTTGAGAATCGGAAGAATTCCATGGGCCAAGCAGATCTGAAGGTCCCTCCAATATCGCCAGGTCCCACGACGATGAAGGCTGGTGGGTTTGGTCAAACAGGTAGACAGTCATTTTCAAAGCAGAAGTCCATGCCTAATACCTCTATGAAATCCACACCGTCCCCAGGCCCAGGAGTTGGTTTGCAGTCTCAGGCTCCCATTCCTAATCCTATTAGCGATGGCAATTACAATGCCAACAATGCAGCTGTGGGGGATCAAAAAGGTCGTCAACTGCCTGAGAATGGTTTGTCGTCTAATTTGCAAGTTTCCGCTGGCGAGGCTCTTAGAAGAAGTAAGGTGATCATTCCTCCTGCAGTCAAGGGTTTTCCAGAGAGAGTGGAGGGGATTTCGTCAGGAGCTGTTAAAAGCCCAATAGGTGCTTCGGAACGAGCTGCGAGCACAAATGCTACAAGCTCATTATTTGTGGATGGAATTGAAGACTCGGGGATGGACTCTGATCTCTTGGCTTCTTTTGAAGAAGCTCTGGAGATGTTTTCTACAGATGAGTGGTACGAGGTGAGAGGTAGCAAGGATGGGGCTACGCAAGCTTCTGATGCCGCTGAGAATGAAGGTCCTTCGCCAATGTCATCTGACAGACAAGAAGACAGGCTTTTTGGAGAAAAAGTACCTCAGGGAAATGGAAATAAGGGAACAACACCGAAAGCAATCGTCCCTCCAAGGATTGTGAAACCTGATCCGTGGGCACGGTTTGAGAAGAAATGTCCACCTGCTGGTGAGGACCGTATTGTGCTCTACACGACCAGCTTGCGTGGGATTCGCAAAACATTCGAAGATTGTAACAATGCAAGATTCATCTTCGAAAGCTTTAATGTTGAAATCGATGAGCGAGATGTGTCCATTCATGCGGAGTTTCGGCAGGAATTGAAGGATCTGGCTGGAATGCCTGTACCAGTTCCTCAGGCTTTCATTAAGGGGCGTTATATTGGTGGGGCTGAAACCATCACACAACTGCATGAGGATGGCACCCTAGGCACTTTAGTGGATGGTATACCTCCTCAAAAGTCACGGGAAGAATGTGATGGGTGTGGGGGAGTGCGCTTTGTTCCTTGCTCAGACTGCAGTGGCAGCACAAAGGTCGTAAACGATGCAAATGAGGTGGTGCGGTGTAGTGAATGTAATGAGAATGGGTTGATGCGGTGTCCTATCTGCTACTAAAGGACTCACAGCTTCAGTTCCTTTAGACTGTACAGAAAATTTATCATAATCATCTAGTATTTGTGTGGTCTGGTATGTCACATCAATTTGCAGATAATTTGCTGTGGTTTCGAAGTAGCAAGCTAGTTTGAAAGCTAGATATGATATATATCGTCCCGTAGGCTGCAAGGTTCTACCTCTCAAATGTTTGTGTCAATGATAGCGAGAATGAGTTTGCGAGGGTTCGCTGCCGATTACAGTGAGGAAAGTGAGTATCCACATAATGGGCTGGATACCTCACTCTAGTTAAATACTCTGGAAGTTTAGTTTTTCAAATTACTCGAGTGTTTGGACAAGCGTTTCTTCCAATGCTTGTCCCATTCGGCTCATTTTATCCCATCTTTCTTGGTGGAACGCTGCATGATGTCATGATATATTTTCTATTGCGGATTGGTTAGAGTAGGCAATTTTGTTTGCTCTATCGTGTGGCTCATCAACTAGACTCTGTAATATCTTTCGCTGAAACACATCAACGATACAAAGCAATCAGAAGTCTTTCAAGTATGTCGACCAAGTTCGAGATAACATTCTACGAGTGTCATATATTCTCAGATCAGTATGCATCTGGAGACAGTACTCAAGTCCGACTGTAAGGAAGAGTTGAAGTTAGTTCACCAGGCTTGGCCCAAGATTGAAGAGATTGACTAATGCATGAAACAATTTTAGTCTTACTCGTCTAACGAAGGAAATAAAAACCTTTCAAGTCATCGTCATTAATTTTTCATAGTTCCACTTCATTCAGGTTTTAGTCTGGTGTCCTACTCCCTTTCCTTTCAGTCTTTAATTGAGCTTGTGACAGGTGCTCCACAACATGTGCTCTTGTTACTTTTCTTACAGGAAGAAGAAAAGACCCTCTTTCAACGCTTCACAACCAGACTGACCAAATTGCCATAATTAACACGTATTGTGAAATCCAAGCGAGATCCTTCAACATAGATGTGAAGTAAAGGCTTCGGTGAATGTGGTGCGTTGAAATTCGTTTGAAAAATGTAATTAACACAGTCCCCTTGACCATCGACCTTGAATGTCGTTCTGAAAAATTCAAGTTAGCCGTGTCTGCCTGTTAGATTCATAACGCCCACAACTATCCTACACGTTTCATCAGCACTGGAAGCTTGCGATCTGTTCTAACGAGAAAGGAGGAGTGTGCTTCGCAAGCTGGGTGATCATAGATCAACGATGCAGAATTCAGCAACAGTTGAGTTGTTCTAGCGGCGTGCAAGAGCCCCCGAATTGCTTTTCAACTGCGAGCGACGTCTGTTACAGCCATTATTGGACGCAGACCACTCTGAGGGACAGCCGCAATGGGATCATATCCGAAGCTACATCTGACATTAATGAGTTCTAGGGAAATCAACTTCTTACATTCTGTTGGAAGCTGTTTTTTTCTCTATGAGTAACTTGATGGTGAAAAGGCAATAGTTCCGTTCAATATCGATCATTGTTTTAGTGGTGGTCGTTGGCCTGGTCATGACATCTTCTAGACTTCGTTCAGCTTCTTGCGCTTCCAACCCGCACACAAAAATCACAAGACCACAACGAACGATAAGGAAACATGCTCTTCAGGACAATGAAAGAATAATTCGTCTAGACAAAGTAAGTCTAGTTATAAGTTTAACTGAAAGACCGCACCGCAAGAGTGGACTGACAGTTGCAAATCTAGAGTTCAGCAAAACCAAGTCTAGAGTTCTAGCAACAGTTGAGGCACCGCAAAAACCTAAGAAAAGTTACAAATACTGATCTGCCAATGGCCACTGATAAATCCCCGGTCAGATTATTGCCTGGATGGTCGATGCTTTCATCACCTGCACCCAGTGCTGCATCATATTCTTCAATGTCACAGGAAGAGCCCAACAATGAGGATCCTTCTTACGCTTGCTGATGTGTTGTCGCTCCCAATCCTCGGCAGCCTTTCTCATCACACCAACTGCAGCACCAAGCCTATGTTTGAATGTTTCAACGATCCCACCACAACATTTAAGCAAAGATTTCTTCGAGTTAATCGACTCTTTGTTGAGAAACATCACCGGAATTGCTTGCAGTCATGTCTTCATAATTTAGTTCGACGTAGCAGAGCTTTCCAGAGCTCATCATGTCATAGCTACAAGAAGGTGATCAATGTTAGTGGGAAAAAAGAGTGGAGAAAATGGGTGGAGAAAAGTAAATGGAAGAATTGATGTGGAGTACTTCAATCAAATTGAAGTTATTGAAGAGTAAATCTATAGAAAGATAGCTATTCCAACAAATCATTTTTCATTAAAATTTTAGTAAGAATTATATAGAAAAGTGGATATGGAAAGATGGGTACAGATAATTATCAAATAAATTATATGCATAGTTCAAAAAAATCTTTTTTTGTTAATTTTTTTTATAAGATTTATATATAAAAGGTTGTTTTGTTAACAAGAACCAATTTAATGGCTGATTCAATAAGGTTTAAATGAAATAAGATTAAATTTATGATATTCGTTGTAGAAACTATTATATGTGTGTATAATTCTACTTGTACTCTCCAATACTTGTTTGTTGCATCCTTTTCCTTGGTCCTCTCTTCCTTGCTTTTATTAGTAGTTTTTGGCATTTAACAAAAAAAATTTATTAAAAAGAGATTGCAATTTAAATAATAAGTTGCTTCTTTTAATCTACAATATTTAAGAAGAAAGATGAGATTATAAAAAAAAATTATCTAATGTGTGTATATATATATATATATATATATATATTTTTAAAAGAGCCACAAAAGAAGAAAAAAATATTCTTTATAGTTTGATTGTTCAAAATATTTGGTAGAGATTATCTTTAAAGAGGCAAAAGCTAAAACATAGGAAAAAAAACTTTTTGATTTTTTGCCTCTTTGTAGGAATCTAATCTTTCTCAAAATGGTATTATTAAGCAAATCAATTTAGTATTTTAAAATTTGAATACACATTCTCTACAACTCCAATGTCCTTGATCTATTATAGACAATTAAGCTTTAGCTTTCTTCAATAACATTAAAGAATATGATTTGTTTAATACATATGTAATCTTAAATCTTTTTAATACATTTTAATTGGTGCATTAATTAAAATATTATTAAAATTATTAATATAGAAAATATTAGCTTATATAATTTATTTAATTTTTAAAGTGATTATAAGGATTTAGAAGATTTTTAAAGTAACAAGAGTCCAAAAGGATAGATAGAGCATGTAGGCAAAAGAAACATTGAAAAAACAACCTAAATTTTTTAAAGACTAGCAATAGCAATATAACAAATATATGTCTTTTATAATCTTTTTTGCTAAGAAAGTATATAATAGAATGCAAGTAACAATTGTATTGTTGGTTCAAATATTTTAAGATATTTATGTTTATAGGACAAGAAATGTATATATTTAAAGAAATAGAAATTATATTTTTTATTTTAATAATGGTGTATTTATCCAACTAAAGAAACATATTGAAATTATTATCATATTAGAAACCTTATATAAAACATATTCCAATGTCTTCAATTTAAAAGAAAAATACATTTTAGCAATCATTAAAGATATGCAATAGATTTGAGGTGCACATAATATACTTTTGTTAGTAAAAATCCTTTAAAATAAATATTATAGTTTTAAATTTAATAAGAATGATTTTTCTTGGATTTAATTCTCAAATTTATTATTTTAAAAATAAAAAATATAATAATAAAGCTTATGATATGTTATGTAATATCAAAGAAGTTATAACAATTTTAAATTCATAGATTTAGGATTAAATCATTATTAAGTGTTATTAGGCTTTAGTATATGTATTAATGCAGATGATAAATAAATATATATATATATATATATATATATATATGCATATTATTAATAGATTGAATATCAAAAATAAAAAAGAAAGAACAACAGCTTCTAAGTATTACATAATCAAAAAGTTAATTAGACAATTTTTAAAAATAAACTCACAAACATTAAAAAAAATTATTTTAGCTATTGTAGTCTTGCTTTCTTTTAAACTAAGAACGAAGTTGTAACAAGATATAAGATGTTAAAATTTAATATAGAAAAGAGAATTGACAAAAAAATAAAGTCTTTTTTTTGCTAAAAAAAGTATAGATATTTTCAAGATATTGATTTGAACTTCAAGATCAAAGACATTAGACACTTAACTATTCTAGTATGTACATTTGAGATTGTTGGCAAAGCAAAATTCACACTCTCAAGTAATAAAAAATTGAATTGTCATGATTAAATATATGCAATAAGATTTTTGATATAGAATTATAATCATCTTCTACTTCTTTGTTTGGTAACAAAAGACCAAATAAAATGTTCTACAATAGAAAATCTTGTAAAGCCAATGCTTGTTATTTTTACTGTATTTTTTAGTATTATAAATTTAAATATAAATGTCAAAAGTTTACAAAAAAGTTAATAAAAAATATTATTTATTTATTTATTGATTTAGATATTTCTAAAAAATATTAAAAAATTAAACATAAGGTTAAAAAGCCATTACCAATAAATATATGATTTATTTTACTGAAGTGATAAATTAAGAGTTTTTTGAAATATCACTTTTTGGAAATTAGAAAATATTAGGTTAGATATAAAATAAAAGACTCAAAACTAACACCAATGATAGATCTTGACTTAGTTGAACAAGAAAAAAAATGAAGAATATTAGCAATAATTAATAGCATAAAAAGGTGATAATAATTCGGCAAATAGTTTTTTAATGCAAGAAGAGATGTCATTCAACTTAGGAAGTAGATGATAATTTTTTCTAAAGCGATTTTAATCTTTCAATTAAAGAAATAGATGTTGTTCATATTTACCAATACATGGAATTAGGGCATAAGACAATTCAGCAAGCTACTACCTCAACTTTTAATTGAAAAATAGAGACATTCTATAAAAAAAAACTTGATTTTTTAAACAAATACAAAAGATAGAAGTTTGTGATTTTTTTAAGTGATAAGAAAGCTATTGACTTGAAGTAGGTTTTTCAAAAAAAATTTGTAAGTAATATATTTGTTGAGGTTTAAAAGGCACAATTTGGAGCAAAAAAGAATTCTAAATTAGAAAGTATTATTTACCACAAAAAAATTATGTTTTTGATTTAATTTTTAAGAAAATAAGTAAATTTCTCAAAAATTATAAAATTTAAAATAAATAAATTTAAATAAATTTCTACATTAATTGAATCCAATCACTTTATTAATCATATTAATAGCAAAAAACATGATGTAGATAGTTGAATCAATTAAATTTTAATCAAAATCTATGAATTTATTAATGTGTCTTACAAATGGAGTAAGTATAATATTATGTTTCTAATTAGCACTTTACACAATACATGTTACAATCATGTGTTGTGTATTAAAAAGAGGTCAATAAAAGAATTTATTATTTATTAAGAATAAAAAAGTTGATGTTTGAATATGGTGGCAAGGATGTAAGTTTGCAACTTGTAGATTATAGTAATGCATTTTGGAGTAGTTGCAAGGAGATCCACTGTTCAATGGATAGATTTGCATTTATATTAGGAGATCTAATAGTTGTTTGGTCAAGAAAGAAGCAATCAACAAACCCACTTTTATCTACAAAAATTAAGTATGCAATTGTAATTGTTGCAAAAAATAATATTTGGCTTCAAAATGTCTTAAGAAATCATAGGATACAAAAAGTATTCATAAAAACTAGTTCAACAAGGTTTAAATAGTACAAGAACTCTTTTCAACTTTGGTTTTGAATTACATTGTATATATTTATAAAATCTTTCTTACATTCTATGGCACTTGCTTGCTGCCTTCCCTTTCTTCTCTATTCCTTCCTTGTTTACTTCTACTAGTGTTCTTTTTTGTTAAAAGATTTTTTTTTGAAATATAACAACAGTGTAACTTATAGTTCTTTGTGAGCAACTTGCAACTAAGACAAATAGATAGACCTACTTGAGTTCAATGCTTACAATTAATTAATTAGATGTTGTTCATCAACATAATGTCTAGAATGATCTATGTAACAAATTTCTTCATGTGGGTGCTTTGTTTTTTTAATACAAGTTTTATTTTGTTAAAAATAATAGCTATCATTTTTAATATATCATGTTCCATTTGTAAGAGAGAAAAAATAGGATGTGTTCTCATTAGTTTTTCTCTCTTTAAGAAGAACTCTCTAATTCTTCTTCTTACTTGAATACCTCTTATTATAATTACTTGTAATATTTTAATTAAAATATAATAAATAAATGATTGTATTAATATTCTTAAAAATTTAAGTTATTTGAAATCATATTAAATATCTAATTAAAATCAATCTTTTAATTTTCTAATATTGTATTTTTTTTAAAAAAATCTTAATCATGTAGCTTAAAATCACGTTAATTTTCTGTGAGAGTACTTTTTAGCCATTGGATCATCAATTACTAAACAATAATATAGCTTCAATATTTTGTGTATTGTTGATTCTACTTAAAAGTTAGTTTAACTCCTTAACAAAATCATATTATAATGTACATATTAACAATAACCATTTGCAATGTCAATAATTTTCAAAGAATTGTTGTCAATTCCTCTAAGGATCTGTGATGCAACCATCTGTGTATTTATATTTAGCTAACTAAAACAGGAACAATATTTGACTACTCCAAAGACAGTTGTTTAATTAGAACAAATCCAAAGGCTTTTACCAAAAAACTAAAAAAAATTCTTACACTAAAATGTCAAAAGCAATAGCTCAAATGAACCATAGTATGATTTCAAATAGACAAAAACATGCAATTACAAAGTGTTCAATTCCAACAAAAGTTTATGCTTTACTTTACTTACATTTTTAACAATGATGACGATTGCTGCCAAGGAATGTCTGGTTGTAGTTGTAATCACCAAATTGCTTACAACCCCTACTTTTATTTGAATACATTTTTAACTTGGTTAAAAATCACAATGAGCAAGGGATCTTCAAGCGAAAGCATCTGTAAGTTGGTTATTTATCATGATGCTCAACCTCAACAGCAAACCTGAGAATACAGAATTTTGAAGCTGAGCGGATAGCTGCGAAGATGCCAGCTCTAATACTGTTTCAGATAACACCTAGTTCTCGAACCAACGTATCCATCATTGCTGGCTTACCACATACCCAACTAAGAGAAGTGGTGAACAGCATGTACAAAACAAGCCCTGTAACACAGAGATGGAGCAGTAAGAGAAAGCACTTACAATATGTTTATAGCTTGAATAAGAGCTTTGTTCTACGTCAAAGTACTAAATCCAGTTTATTTCAGTGAGGTGGAAAAAATGTAGACAAGTTTCATCTTCTGAATCAATTTCCGCTAAATTGATTAATTTCTATACAATGCTGGTTACGTCCTTCAGTATACACCAATTTAATGCATGACCTCGATCTTCACTCCCTGCAATGGATCAACTACACATAGAAAGCAACCAGCTCTTATCTCTATCGTATTGACTGAGCTTCATACTTCTGAGCAGCAAATAAATCCTCTCCATGATTCTTACTCTGGAGGACCCTACCCCAAGGCTCATAACAGGAGCACAACTGGCCACAACGCCGATCTTCATCTATGAAGGCCACTTGTTACAATGCACAATGCCATTGCTTACTTCTCACAAGACAGTGGCACGTGAACAGAATTCTGCTATCTTGGTATTCAAAGGAGTGTATTTTGTTGCATCTAATCGTTGAGATTCTACATCTTCAAGGAAGGGATAGTCTGTGTAGCCAACAACAGGATCTTGTGAGTAGAAAGTGTCCCTGTTGTAATCGTTCAATGGAGCATTCAAAGCAAACCTCTTCACCAGATCTGGATTAGCAAGGAACAACCTTCCATAAACAACCATATCCGCTTTCCCATTCCTAACAGCTTCATGCCCCTCTTCAGCCCCGGCACTAGCACCGATGAAAAAAGTGCCTTTAAAGGCCTTCCTCATGGGCCACAAGCTTTCGGCTGACTCCTCATCACCACACCCGCTTGCCTCAACTCCCATCAGGTACAGGAGGTTGTACCGATTCAGAGTCTCTGCAAGGAACACAGAGAGACCAGTAGCGTCAGAATCGGTGGCACCGTATGAATGTGAGAATGGAGAGAGTTTCACTCCAACTCGGTCAGCACCAATCTCTTCTGTCACTGCTTCCACAATTTCAACCAGGAAGCGGGCCCGGTTTTCCATGGATCCACCGTACTTGTCTGATCTGTCATTGATGCCATCTTTCAAAAATTGATCGATGAGAAAACCATGTGCACCATGAATCTCGACCCCATCGAAACCTGTCAAATAATGAACAGAACCAGGTCAAACCACAGTTTGGGTACTATTTTGAATGATGGTCAGACCCCGTTGTCAGGATATGTAATTTAGACAAATAGTACTATTCACACGACGAAAGCGAGTGCATGTGACTTGTTCTATCACACTCTATTTTCTGCACTCAATGCGAGACTGCATAAATCCCTGCAAGGTTTGACGCCTCTTATGTATCCGAAAGCCTCACCAGGGAGATCTTACAAGCAGGAGTCTCATGAAAGGGGAAAAAGCACAGGTTTAACCTCAAAGGGTAAAATAAAGTTTGACACACATGTTCTAAAGCCTGGTAGGACTTTACGCGGAGAGGGGCCCTCGTGGGCAAATCTCTACCTATACCACATACAAAATCAGGACAGTTTGAAATGATAACCTGCTTCAATAGCATTGCGGGCAGCCTTACGGAAATCGTCCACGTACTCAGCAATCTCATGAATCTCTAATGGTCGGGGTGTGGAACATTCCACCGCACCATCCGCTTGTGGCAGGTATATTTTATCTGAAGTGCAGGTTTGGCTGCTCGAAGAAACAGGTGCTGCGCCGTTGGGTTGATACGCTGCGATACTGAAGCATCAGCAAATCTAACAGGCTATCCAGATCAACTTTTTACTGAAGACCAAATCAAAACCTGATGCCAATAAAAAGTAACAACTAAATGATCCTGATTACTCACAGCATTACAAACACATATGTCTCCACTTGAGTGCTTAGTCACATAAATTACAATTCACATGATTTTAGTACAGGTTATTAAATTCGGAGCCCCTTTACGTAGAGATTTCACGCTCCAATAGTTTTCCTTCAGCTGGTCATAATTGATGCAGATGATTTGAGAGTAGATTGTCTGCTTACAAGCATGAGACACTCGGCCGACGTGCCATATCTGACAGAAGAATACGCCTCCCTTATCATGAACAGCTTTTACAATAGGCTTCCATGCTTCCATTTGCTCTTGCGTCCAAATCCCTGGAGTGTGTGGATACCCATTCGAGGTTTCATTAATCCCAGTAGCTTCGGCTATGAGGAGCCCCCCGCGTGTGGTGCGTTGCGCGTAATAGAGCGCAGCATGTGATGGTTGCGGTATAGTGTGGTATGATCGACATCTGGTAAGTGGTGCTAACACAATCCTGCAGTAGTAGAAGAAACTTATAAAATAAAACGCCGCGTCAACCCACAAATCACACAACGTTCTGTTGCAACCATAAAATCGTCTCAAGGAATGCAACCTCCCCGCCCCGCCCCCATCCAACAGCAGCAGCAGCATCAGCATCAGCATCAGCATCAGTAAAATTTTAAATAAAGAAATAAAAATAAAAATAAAAATAAAAAACACTCACGAGAATGAAACCCTAGAACCTCAGCTAAATCGGAACTATCGATGCCTGTAAGAACATCCCACCCAGAATTATACAGCACATTCAGACATGGAAGTAAGCTTGAAGGGTCCTAAAAGCTCCCAACCTGTGAGAAAGCTTGAAAGGACCCAGCTGGTAAGGAGACAACAAGGGCTTCTTCTCCAAGCCCACCTGAGGAACTTCATTATCTACTGACAGAGAACCACTCTCCATATTGCCTGTCTCCACCGGCACGAACGCACCCACACTGTAACCCATCTCTCACGCCTCCACAGCTTCAGTACAGCACACAATCAAGTCACAGCTCCTTCCAAGCGTTTTTCCACGCAATACAACCTCGGCTTATCCCCAACGACACCCACTCCCCAACTGCCTGCTGCTACAGCAACAAATTGAAGCAGGAGAGATTTTACATCGTTCTCTCGTAGGACCAAGATGAAAGAACCTGGTCAGTGCGAGACAGACCTCCTCTACAAGATGATGCGAAGTGATAAAATCCTCGCCTAGGACTTGGATTTTAGCGTGACTTGTAACAGCCAACTGCCAAAGCTCTGGAACACAAGGCGGTCTCGGGTGGGGTCACGATTGCCTCGGGCACGTGTGGCGGGTCGGAGCACGTCGAGAATCCCAACCTCGCGCTGCAAAACCTGCAGCAGCCGAGAGGAGAAGGAGGATGAGGAACCTACCCACACCCGAGATTGACGGGCTCCAAGCACCCACTCGCGCCGGACGTAACCCTATATTAGATCGACATGGCTTGACGAAGCAACGTCGTGGACGTAGATCAACAACCTTGACTGGGAGCCACGGACGAGATGTGTTCTACATTTTCGACGATTTCGTTCCATCGGTGAGTTGGGCCAGGGCTATCGGTAAGAATGTGGGGCTCTTGTTTCCAAACTGAGGATAATGTTCCACAATATATTTGTTATGTGATTAGGTCCATCCAAGGGTAGATTAGGTACTATCTAACATTTTGTGTTTGTATTTGTGGTAGGCAACACAGATTATTGGCATATACTTCTTATGTTATTAATTGTAAGAAAATTAATGTCTACAAAAAAGCTCTAAGAAGAAAGTACTATGAAAAGAGTAATAAAATATTAAAAAAACATTTATGCGTGTTGCTGATGCCACCACAATTTGCCAATCCATCGCATGGTGTTGATAATATCACCACCAGCTGCCCTAAACTTGAGTAGCACATCACAATGCACTTTTCAATCACAAAAGCTAATTAAACCATCACGTGACCTGTGATCCTTAATCACTCTTTGTGAAGAGAACAGTGGATGGGTTGCATACAATAAAACCGTATGATTGGAGTGACAAAAGTAACATTTAAGAGAATTGAACCAAATCATGAGACCGTGCATGAACCTGGTGTCCGACGCCCACTTAATTGCTATTTTCCAGGTTTTAGGGTTTGGGGTTGACATATCTGCCAACAATCTTATATACGATCAAGATTACGGTATAAATACATGATATAAAATAACTAAGTGAACAGCGACAGCACCTCAAGTCCATCAATAGAAACTTTTGTGGGGAATAAGTCCCAAAGATGAAGGCTAACTTGAAGACTCATCGACTTTCCACACAACAAAATTTCTTGCTTGGACTGCATCTGACATTTCAACTATCGGACGGGAAACGAAGGATGAAACATGAGTCGGAGATAGGAACACAACTGAACATGGTCAGAATAGCCAAGTGTAGAAATCGCTGTGGCAAAATGACCAACTGCTATGAACTAAAACTGAGACATCTTGACGGAGGTGATTTGCAGTCATGCACATAACAATTTACGTAAAGGAAATTGCCAATAACATCTTTCCGAAAAAATTAATGTCCTCTTACTCGGGCAGAGTTGATATAATTTAATCCCTCACGATGCCACGGGGGTCCCCCAGAATCTGAAGGCAAAGGGACGATGATCCAGAAATACTAAATCCCTACTCAATAAATTGATGAAACCTACAAAATCAGAAAAGAACTGCAATGCAATGCAGCCAAACAAACACATCGAGGTCCACAACTCTGGTGAGAAGTGGAGGCCTGATGTTCACGAGCAATGTGACACGGAAAATTGGTTCAATAAGGATACACTCTGCAGATATTAAAACTAGACGATTACAGATAACCTCGTTGCTAGACTCATACACTTGAAACTCCACTCATGAACCCTAAGTAGTTGCCTTCCGACGTCCAACCAAGGCAACGAAACCAGCCTTGATAGGTGCCACCGATCTCGAGCATCCACACTAGTAGACAAATCATCAATATTAGTACAGGATTCTTGTGGAACAGGACTTACTTTGAACATACTAACAACGTTAGAGCAGCAACATATTGCGAAGTACGTTGCCATACTTCGAACAAAATGAATAACAAAAAAATAGTCAATAGAACTGAAAAAGTGCACAGAAACATGACCAAACACAACATGGCTAAGCGCAGCCTACGATTACACACCTGCTCACAACGAAGAAAGAACAAACGGTTCTCCTTGGTAAGGATGGTGTCCGGACTCTTACAACCATTGCACATAACATACTCATCTGCAACAAGATGAGTCAGTGAAAATGATGTTAGCTCATCCCAACCGTTTCATGTACTTCCGAGGCAGCAAAAGCACAATATTGCGCTGAAAAGGTACAGCATCGTCATCAGAAGCAGAAAACTCAACAAATACATCAGCCAATCTGCAGTTGATAATATCGTCCAAATGTCAACACCAGAGCAAACAAATGTGAAGGGACTTACTGATATAGCGCCTCAAAATACCCTCAAAAGCCTTCGGAGCAAATCGACCTTTAACAACCAGACGCTGTTGTCCGTCCAACGATCCATTCGTACCCAACTCAGCCAACAAGAAGGTCATGACGTGCTCTGGTTGTCGGTGCATACTGCACAATAACAGAAATGATTCAATATAGTACGTTCCGACTGTCCATGGCATGCGTTCTGTCAAAACTTTGAGTCTCAAGTAAATATGTTAGCCAATGAAAAATATTTAGCCTTCGACGGTTAAAGTTATACATTGGCTGCTAGTAATCGTAATCAATGAAAGAGAACTTCCACGAATAACAAGCAAGTGCACAAGCCGAAAGCGCGAGTCGGGACACATACGTCTTGCAAAGGTCCATAAAGTTGACAAAAACGGTTTTCTTGGTTCCTTCTCGGAGAACCTGAGGAGGTCTCATGATGGTACGCCTTCTCTCTGCAGATAGCTCCGGGTTGTTTTCTCTCAGAATATCAAAGACCCGCCCTAAAAGCTGCAGCCGCCCACCAAGATCATTCATACATATGCATATGGTAAAATTCGCAAAGTAGAGTATGATCTTGTTACTTTAACACCGCAAAAGCAACTCACAAAGCCAGCTGAGATTGTGAACAGAAAATCAAATGCTTTTCCAAGAAGCTATTGCAAAAATAAATAACAAACCGGTATTTTAAACAAGTTTAAAATCCTACCTCTTCGTATTTATAGTCTCGTTCAGTTCCTTCCCAAGGATAAACGGGACCTCCCAATTCAATACCCTCACCAGGCTCATCATCAACGACTTCACCGTCGCCTGCATTAGGTCTAAGAGTCTAAGAAACTGTATTGCGATAATAATTCGCACAATCGAAATTTGGTTCCTGGATCAGAAAAATGCACCTAAATACAGCTAGGTAATATTCTCCAACTATAATCTCGATCACACACGTCATGAGCTATCATTCCACATGTACAGCAGTAAACCTTCCGCATATTATCCTGTGAGATCCTAGTGAACAGGGAGAACTCTGACCGGTAGATCCATCTTCAGCATCGCCATTCTCTTCCTCCAACGATTCACCCTCAATCTAGCCACAAAAATTACCATCGGCTGGTCAATTAAGAAGGTCACTTTGAGAAAGTTAACAGGCAACTATGCGTACGAAATTTCTAAAAAGACCATGAGCTGCATAGACACAAACAGCAACACCAACTAGATAAACCACGTTAACTTCAACCCTAAACCTAAACATTGCCCCCTATATAAAAAAACAAAAAAACTCACTGGTTTTTTCTTCTTTTTCTTCTTCAGACCAGCAAACGACGAATCCAAGCCAACTTCAGCAGTAGCAGCTTCCTTCACAGGCACGGGCTCCTCATCTTCTTGCATACGAACTTTCTTTTTCTTCTTTTTCTTGGTAGGATCGAAGGCTCCAATCTGCTTATAATGTCAAAACCCTAATTTTCATTAGATCTCACTAACACTTCCTGCTGTTCTTCAGTTCAAAAAACACCACACCTTAGCACAATCCCTGAAATCCGCCAACACAAAACCTGGCAATTAAACAGAAAACCAGGGTTCCGACAAAACATCCGCGATCGCCACTCAAGCAACATAATTCGAGACTGGACAACTAACTAACTAACTAACTACCTCCACTCCGATGTTGTCCTCTTTGTGATCCGGCACAGACTCATCATGCTGGACGTCCGCCATAGATAGGGTTTAGCAGAAGAGGCGCGGAAACGAAATAGGGGCAAATAGGGCAAAAGAGGGGCAGACAGATCAGCAAAAGCAAAGGCTTCGAGAGAATTGCAAAAGGGGCGAGGAAACACGGACTCCAGTAGGGCTAAGAAATGGGGAAATGAGGCGTTCTTAATGCCTTGAGAGTGTACCCGACGTCTCCACCAAAGCGATGGGGTGTCGCTAATCCTGTGTGCTTCGAGGCACACGGGAGACGCGTCGACATCTGATAGGCCGAAATCCTGCTCGAGGCAGTCACAAGAGAGGGCGTGGAATGAAGCACCTGTAGACGTGAAGGATGAAAACTACAATCGAGATGAGAATCCTCGTAACGAAGCCCTAGCACAGCACTCGGAACTAGATACATCCCTCAAACACATGCCTTTCTGACAGTGTGTAAGACTATATATTAAAATATCAGATAAGTTAAGTACATGGAAATCCTTAAACTAGGGTCTCTTGCATTGTAATTGGTTGTCACAAGATTAACGTCGCGACCAATTCATATACCTACATGTGTAGGACTACTCCCCCGCATAGAAATCTGAGCCGGCTCGTTTTTCTTGGTACGTAGTCGATATCACGTTCTGCCATCTTAATGTAAGTGAGATCAGATTAGAGATTGTAATGCACCAAGTTGAATGTAGGGACCATGAAATCTATTTGTTCAGCATCAGCGTGGGTTGGTTTGAGTTGGCACCGACGACGTTCTTCATCAAAGGCTAAAATTTTGTATGGACCAACAAACTTTGCTCTGAATTTCCCTCTCTTTTGCATCGTTTCTCCTTGTGCTAAGCTACCAAATTGCCAATCACAAACTTGCGCACGTAGCGGAAGCGCTTGTCATGGCCTTCAATCTGCATCAATTGCGCTTTGGCAATGTTGTCATGAGCGTATGTGTTGAGGTATGTTCGATGTGCCTACATAGAGCCCATATATTGATTGAGATAGGCGGACTACTCGACAAGCGTTGTGTAACCCGAGGGCATGACTGGAAGCCTGGGCTCGAACGGCAATATATTGGTACGCTAGTGCCGTACGCAAAGGTGATGGCGAGCAGCATCGTGTGTCAGTGGGCATCGTACACTCTATTTTTCTCGATCAGTGCACACAGTGTTAGGTTGAACTGTTCTGTGAGGCTGTTGCACTACGGATGATAGGGTGAAGTTGTGGTGTGTTTGGTGCGTAGGTGGATCGCCAACACATCCATAAGAGCATTGCAAAATTCACTCCCATTATCCGTGAGGATTTCGGTAAGACTGCCATGTCTCATCATAACTTCGTCAAAGAAGAATTGTGTGATATGTTCACTCTCCTTTGAGATCAATGGTTTCAGTTCGACCCATTTGGTCAGGTAATCTGTAGCGACAATAACACACACGTGTTGCTTGGTGGTGGTTATTAGGGAGACTATGAGGTGATTGGGATGGATGTAAAGATTCGTAGGTTGATTCCTTTGCTGTAATCCCGTTTGACTTGACATATGTCACAGCCTTTGATGAATCTGGTAACGTCAGCTAACATGCATCAATGATACGCTTCTTTCAAACGGTTCAGTGTTTGTTTGACGGCAAAGTGGTCGGAGGTGAAAGATGTGTAAAAGAGTTCCAAAATTTGCGGTAGGTCTGCTCTCTTTGGTACTTGAAGGATGCAAGTTCCATCCTAAATGTTTTTCTTTTAAAAGAGGGCACCATCTCAAGGCACCATCTCAAGTGAGGTACTAAGGAAGTTGGTGTCTTACTCTTTTCGCTAGTATTTTGTCTAGTCCAGAGTTGATAAAACCATTCTGGCAAGCATTAACCAATCCGTCATATATCGCTGCCTCCATAATGCTTGCTCACGTTGATTAGGAGCAATCTGTTTATTTGTGGGGAGGGCAAGGAGTGATCTCCGTCCTTTGTTCCCTATCAGATTGTCACAACAGTGGAATGCACCATGATTTAGTCGATACTGGTGTGAGAGAGCAGAGACCACTATAACAGAAGATACTCTCACCATTTGTGTTAGTTGATATTAGAGAGGATAATAACAGAAACAGAGTGACAATGAACAAGGAACAAGAAGACGAAACCAAAAAAATAAAAAGTTACAATGAGAACAATTGTGCATGTATTGTCTCATGATCGTATTCCATAGGCAACAGAAATGGAATAAAAATGACAATGAAAAGGGAACAACAAGGTGAAATCTAAAAAAATAAAAAAAATAACGTTGAAAACAAACTATGCAGATACTCTGTGACCGCACTCTGTAGGCACCTAGATAGTCGTTGTTGTCACCAGTTGTTGTTTACTGGTGGAAAGATCCTGTAGCAGTCAAATGCCGTTGGTAGTAACTGATGCATGTGGAATGAGTGTGTGCAAATCAGCAACAAGATCATTGAATGTTGAATTTGGCTTTGGTTGCATTTTCTTCAAACTGGTTAGAGGGTTGATGTTGGCATGGAGGTAGTCTGACTTGTGAATATTAGTGCAATTATATGACTGTAGCACCAGTGCCCATTAATCTGATCTCCTTAGTTGTTGGTTTAAGAAAGCACAAAGCTTCCTATTGTAGAGATATTTGTTGTTTATGTATATCTTAGTTAGTTTCTATCCTCTCCTTTGCACTAAGTTATCAACCAAATCCTCACTTACACCTAATCTAACCAACCTCATTTTGAACTCATATAATTCAATATAAAATCAATAGAATAATTTGATACCTTTTGCAATAGATTAAATATCTCATCTTCTCTTTGTATTTAATTTTTTTTAAAGTGATTGATGATTTAAAACATTTATAGCAAGTAAATTTCCTAAGATAATTTTTTTGTCACTACTTCTTTCTTATAATTCTATAGCGAGTTACTCTTTGTACATATCTCTTAAATAAAATATTGTAATCTCTTAAATATTGGTGATTAAATTTTTTATTTAACAAAAAAAAATTATATTCAAAGTCTCATAACTATATCTCACTAAGTTATAATCCCTCAAAGTTGTTATCTTTGACTTATAAACTTGTTAGATCTCCATTGCTTTAGCATTTTTTTTCTTGTTGATTTTATTAGTTTTTTCTTTCAAATTTTGCATATAGATAGATATATTTATCTTAAATATTTATTTAAAAGCTTGCTTTAATCAAAGACACCAATCAATCACAATAGACTTTAATTCAAGATCTAAAAACTACCATCTTTATTAATCAAACAAAAGATACAATAACCATAACAACTATATCTTTGTGTTTTTCCTCCTTCCCTTAAGTTACCTTGACACTTCAAAAGTATCATTAAGATGAATTTCCAAAAAGAATCAACCACATATAGTCTATCTTATTTTTATCTTTATTCTAAAAATTATCACCAAAAAGACTCTAAGATGAATATCCACCATATATAGCCTACCTTATCATTATCTTCATCTTCTAATCTTCTTGATTATTAATCTTATAGCCAATTCTCTACTAATAAATAACCAAGTATATGAACTAAAACAACAAATAGGTATATGAATTAAAATAAGTATTTGAACTAAAAAAGAGTATATAAATTAAAACAATAAAGTACTAACATCATTTTAATTGTATACTTAAGGTAGATATAATATACATGATTGCTTACTATTTAACTAATAAATGGCCTATATCACAATATCATTAGGTCATGTGATTTCATTATAGCTTTAAAAGGCACATGATCAGTTTCAATGATAAATTTATTGCCATAAAGTTAGAGATAGAAATGATTCATTCCAAATATTATAATAAGACCTTCTTCATCATTGATATCATAATTTTTTTAGCTTTAAAAATTCGGCATGAAGCATGTGCAATTACTTGTTCCTCTCTATTAATTATTTGATCCAATATTACTTTGGTGGCATCTAAATTAGCATCAATTTATAGAAAAAATAATAGATGAAAATATGGATATGTAAGCATAGGAGCTGTATTGAGGTTCACCTTGGATTTGTTAAATGATGATTATTTTGCTTCATTTCAAAGGAAGGCTATACATTTTTTCATGAGGTAATATAAAGATGTGGTTAGTTTTCAAAGTCATAAATAAATTAATAATAATAGTTCACTAATCCAATGAAAGATTGGATGCTTTCTAAGTTGATCAGTTGTAAAAGAAGTACAATAAATTGGATCTTATCTTAATCAAGCCAAAGATTATATACAAAAACCATATAATTGAAATAGATTCATTTGAAAGGTCTATGATACACTTCTTTGCTTTTAATTTGATGCATGCTTTGTCACAAACATACATATTTATTCTAATATTTACCTATATAAATAAGTAGAAGTAAATAAAAATAGATTTATTTCATAATATTTTTTAGAATAGCTTCCTAGAAGCTCATAGATGCTACCTTGACTTTACATGTGTTTATAGTTGATTGATAGGTTAGAAACTTGGTCAACAAGTTAATTATATATTGATAGTTTGCGGAACAAGCTAATTATGTAGTTCACATACAAAAAAACATATCTTGCAAGTTAAGATAGGTATTTTATAAAGTCAACATGTTTTAGAAGTCTTATAGGACATTGTCACATAGCTCCTAATTAAGAGTATATATGGAGGCAAGAATAAAGTCTTCTTCACTCTTATCAATGCTTTTATAGTCCTTAATCTTATTTTAAGACTTTCTAGTCTTCTTGTTTTTGGCAATAGCCATTCTAATTCAATATACTATCCTCTTTAGTGATTTTTTAGTCTTTTTGAATGACACAAGAATATATTGAGGATTTGTTTCTTTAAAATTTATGTCCTTGATAGTTTAATAAGAATATTAATTTATTATTTTTGTCTTATTTTAGAAGTGAGTGGATTATTCTACTTCTATTGTTATATTTTAAAGGCTATAGACTATCTATTTTTAAACAAATAATCTTATTTTTTAACAGTAAATTTGTCCTTAAAGAAAGACGAAATTTTCATTTGATATTAGAGGTTATAAATTATTCTCCTCTAATTTAATTTTTATTTTTTTTAAAATTATCTATAAAGAAAATATTATGGATGCTACTTTTAATATAAGTAAGAATAGATTTGCAACAATTATAGATTTTTATGAACTTGTAAATATTCTTAGAACAAAAAATTTATGAATCACCAGTGCCAATTATGGAAACCCTATCTTATGCCTATAGAAGAATTTTAAAATCTGTTTCAAGAAGTTATGCAATTGAAAAAAGTAAGTAGATTGACTTCACAACTAAATCTATGAAGTTTATTTTCTATAAATATGACAAAGATATAGATTACTATGCCCAATACGTTTGATGGAATAAGTTCAAAATTTCAAAAAAATTTGCAACAAATTAAGTTCTATCTAAGATTATATCTCTTCTAATATCCTTATAGATTTACACAAGTTGGATTTATAGCACACTTCTATCTGAAAGTACTTTTTTTTTATTTGTATTATTAATAGAAAAGAATTTATGACTCTTTTATGATTTGAATTTATTCCTTGAAATATTTACAACCACATTTGGAGAAGGAGATTAAAAAAAAGTAGCGGAGATCAAATTCTTATCTTTAGAATAAGGATCACAATCACATTTCATATCTATTACTAAATTCCAAAACCTCACTTATGATGTAGATTGGAATGACAAAGCCTTCATCAATTAATTTTAATATGGATTGAAGGATAACATTAAAGATTTGTTATTCACAATGCCAAAAGCAAAATCTTTGGAACAATTTATTATTGAAGCCATTGCATATAATAATTAATTATTTGAAAGGCATGAAGAATAAAGACTTGGTTAGAAAGAAAAAAGTTAAGTAATGATAACAACTTTCAAGTTTTCAAAAACTTATTTATTATGGCCAAAACCAATATAAATTGATATGATATGTTATTATGTTGTAATATGACTATATGGTGAAAGAAAATAATATGGATCTTATTACAAAAGAGCCAAATTAAAATATAAAATAAAAAAATATATATAAAAGATAGAAAGGTAGTAAATTTTTTAGAAGTAATGCTACTTTTTTTAAAAAGTGACTTCTACTTACTTTGTTGGATCATAAATAAGGCAAAATAAAGTAGATTAGGAAAATAAATGATACAAGCATTTAAAAGAGAAAAGAAGGAGTTGATTTTAACAAAAATTAATTCAAAAAGATAAAATTTGATACTCGAAGAGGGTCAATTATCAATCTAGGTCAAAATCAGACCTCGAGGCACAAAATCAAGCACCTACGTGTCACAGACATATATTTATTGTAATTATTATCTAATTGATATGAATGGATAGAATTAAGTAAAAGTAGATTAATTTCATAATATCTTCTAGAGTAGCTTTGTAGAAGCTTCATATATGTTGCTTTGACTTTATATGTATTTATACTTGATTGATAGGTTATAAACTTGATCAACAAGTTAATTATTTGCCACACATGTTAGTAGCTTGCAGGACAAGCTAACTATGTGGCGCCTACATAAAAAACTTGCTCTGCAAGTTAAGATATGTATTGTGTAAAGTCAATACATTTTTGTAGGTTCTACAGAACGTCACTACGTAGCTCCTAGGTAGATAGTATATATAGAGGCAAGAGTGAAGCCTCCTTCACTCCTGTCAATTCTTTTTTTTGCTTCTAATCTAGTTTCAAGGGTTTCTAGTTTTCTTATCTTTTGGCAATAGCTATTCCAATTTCTTTTTTAATATACATATTTAGTTATTTCTATTTTGTCATCTTTGTTTGAGAAAATTCTCACTTGTTTATTTATTTTTATCAAGTTCTTGCCCTTGACACTACAGCAACTTGAGGATTTTTTTGGCAGATTGGAGAGTGGAATTTGAGGGCAAACTAGATAAGATTTCTATAAGCATTGGTTTTGTATGATTTGGATTTGTAATGACTTTGTAAGGGCTTTATAAAGTCAAGTTTTTTTTCGGATGCCAAAGATACACAAAGAATTTGAAGATCTTAAAGCCTCAAAGGATTTTTATTAGACGCCATTGTAAAGCTGGATTGCAATGGTAAAAAGAATAAAGGCTTCTTGTCAAGTAGAAAGGATGAAAATATTATAGGATTATCACGAGATGGATATATCATATTCAAAAATTTAAATAATTTTAGAATGATAGATAAGAAAAATATCAAAACTATAGAACATGAATTAAAAAAATATGATATAATTGATGAAGATGTATACATATCAGGGATATTTGAAGAAACTTGTTTTAGTGATACTATAGATGATTTACAAATATTATTGAATGAAGATTTTGAAGGAGGTGATAAAATAATAAATGTGCATTCTAAGTAATTTTATGATGGAATAAAAGAATACATGGATAAGTATGAAGTGAATATAAATACAAAATATAAGATCGTTGCAAGAAAGATTAAA